GTTGGGTGTTGAGTTATGAGTGGACAATGGAATGATATTGATTTTATGTTTATTAAATGGTAGTGTTGTCACTTCAATGAAAATGCACACAAAAGATCAGTTTCTCTCAAATTTATGAGAAGACTCTAAATTAAGCATTGTTTAGCAAATTTCATATCATGCTACTGCATGGATGACCAAATATGATATATCATATTTAATGGTTAAGTAATTATATCTTTTTAATAAATATTCATACTTTTAAATTGAAATATCATATTTTAAAAATATATATAAATAAAAGAGTCATATTTTATAGTATAAATATGTATTTTTTTAAAAAGAAATAATGGATGGACCTGCCCAACTATTATAGACCTGCAATGTGATAGAATTTAAGCATATATTACCTATTTTTTTTTTCAAGTACATATATTACTTTTTTAAAGGAGCAATATCAAGCATTAATTTTGGACTCATTTTGTTTAGTGGATTGGTGTTGAATTAACATATTATACCTCATTTTGACCAATAAAATATGCTAATTAGCTTATTTAATTAGTATTAGAAGAAAAAATGCTTATTTTAAAAAAAGCTTAATTAAAAGAGCATCGTTTTGAAAAAATAAGATATATTAAAAACAAACAATACAATGTAACAACTATAAATTATATTAAAAACAAACAATACAATGTAACAACTATAAATTTTCGTTATTTACGCTAATAGAATCTGTTAGTCAAACCAGGATCTGTTATCTGCTACAACAATTAGTTAAAAGATAATTGCAAACAAAAGCTTTGAATCTTTATAAAGTAAATAATTTTTTTTTGGCAAACAATACATGAATGACGAAATTTTAACAAAAATATATCTCAATGGAATTTCAACGACAATTTTAATGGATATTCCAGTACTGTTATTTCGATTGGAATTTCGCAATGCATTTCAACGAAAATATTCTGTTAGAATGAGTTTTTCATTAATTTTTTTGTTGGATTTCGACGATTTCAATGGTACATTTTTCAATAATTGAAATATGGGTAGAAAAAAATTCCAAAAAAAATTACATATTCTAATCAAAATTTTAGGACAGTTCCTCTCTCCGATGGATGGGCGAGGAATAACATCTTATATGATTTCTTATCCGGAGAGAAAACAAATCTGAAGGGGATGAGTTCTTTCTCCATCCCATCACTAGCAGTTGCAGTTCAGCCACCGATACTGTTGCGGGATCATTTAGGGGCCTTAGCTGGTGATCCGGGTTGTTTTCCTTTCGACGATGAAGCTTATCCCCCACTGTCTCACTGGCCGACCTTGACCCCTGTTATTTTGAGGTCATATATATCAAGTATTCAGAGTTTGCCTCGATTTGGTACAGCTCTCGCGGCCCGCACCGAAACAATGCTTTATTCCTAGATGTCCAGTCAACTGCTGTCGTTCTTGCTCTAGCTCTGGTAATGGCTAAGAGAATTCAAGTAATCGTCTCTTGAGCAGAAAGGTACGTATTATTTCACGTAAGAGCACTGTTCTAAAAATCGGCCTAGGCGGTGCCCGGGCGCCTCCGATTTGTACAAATCGGCAGAAAAAATCGGCCAGGAGGCTAGGCGGCCCTAGGCGCTCCTAGGCGGGCTTGGCAGGCTCGGGCGGCCAAGCGGTTCGACGGCGTCTAGGCGGGCGTAGGCGGACCTAGGCGCTCCTAGGCTGGCTCGGCGGCAATTTTTTAATTTTTATATTTTATTTTTTTAAATACTAATTACATTATTTTGTTCTCATGTTTTCTTTAATATATATTAATATTATTATTTAGACTTTGGTGTATGAATTTATTGTAAGTTGAGATAGTTTTATTTTGTAGGTAGTTAAAATAAATAAAAAATAAGGCATTTGATATTGATTTCTGGGCCCCGACTAGGCCTAGGCGCTGGTCGAGCGCCTAGCGACTTTTCGAACACTGTGTAAGAGTACACAAAGAATACCAAAGGGACAATTTCTACAAAAATAAGTAGTTGAAAAATTAATGATCGATAGAATCATCAAATTCCAACTAAAACTCTAAAAAAAATATAATTCTAATGAATTAATTATTTTAATGTAATATATATATATATATATATTGTGTGTGTAGATAACGATATTTTTTCAATAGATATGTATTGTTTTAAAAACAAATTCGGGAGGTTCGATCCTACTCGTGAATAGTGCCGACGGGAGAATTTTAGCCATCATGTCACACATTCACACACATACCCGTGCGAGATGTGTTGATCTGACTGCTAAAACTCTGATCTCACTGCTAAAACTCCTGTGGAAGCATTACCCACGAGGTATGATGAAATTTTCCATAAGTTACATATTTTAAAAAACACCATAAAAAAATAAACATTTCACAGTAAAAATAACCATTATTCATAATCTATATATATTGAAAAAGAGAGGTCAATAAATCCTTTTGGGAAAGTTTTAAAAAATTGGTCAACAACCTCATTGACTTTCCATTTGTAGAAACTAATTTAAAAATCTTTTCAAAATATATGGTTTTTTTTTTCCTGTTTTTTAGGGATGGATATATATATCTTATCACGTTAAAGGTATATCCATCCCTAAAATCATGGTATTTAAAATCTATCCAAATATCATCCCAAAAATCCTTTTAAAACAATTTTTTACTAATTAACATATATTTAAATACAAATGGTGATATCACGTTAATTTTTTACTAATTAACATATATTTAGGGATGGATATTATCATCCCAAAAATCCTTTCAAAATCCTTTTATTAACATATATTTAGGGATGGATATACCTTTAACGTGATAAGATAATTATGCATCCCAAAAATCATGGTATTTAAAATCTATCCAAATACAATCCATAATTATCTTATCACTTTTGTTAATAAAAAATTGTATAAAAGGATATTCACTACCACCATTACAACTCATCATTCACGAGTTCAGAGAAAAAAAAATACAAAGAATAATTTTTCATCGCATATACAATATAATGCTTCCAGGCTGGGGTAAACTTGATATATAATGCTTCCAGACTGGGTACGTTAACAAAAGAAACAAACCTTTTTTTGCGTCTGAGAGCAGTCCGCATTATTGAAACCCATCACGAACGGGAGAGCTATAACGCATTTTCATGATGAACAGGTAATATTTACCTTTTTTATTTCAATTTTATATAATTTAGAAAATTATTTTAATTTTAATATTTATAACAAACTTTTTTTGCTTCTGAGAGCAGTCCGCATTATTGAAACCATCACGAACAGGAGAGTTGTAACGCATTTTCATGATGAACAGGTAATATTTACCTTTGTTATTTCAATTTTATATAATTTAGAAAATTATTTTAATTAATATTTATAACAAAGCATTATTGAAACCATCACGAACAGGAGAGTTGTAACGCATTTTCATGATGAACAGGTAATATTCGCATTTTATTTTCATGATGAACAGGTAATATTTACCTTTGTTATTTCAATTTTATATAATTTAGAAAATTATTTTAATTAATATTTATAACAAACCTTTTTTGCGTCTGAGAGCAGTCCGCATTATTGAAACTCATCACGAGCAGGCTGGGGTACACTTGATATATAATGCTTCCAGACTGGGGTACGTTAACAAAAGAAACAAACCTTTTTTTCGTCTGAGAGCAGTCCGCATTATTGAAACCCACGGGAGAGCTATAAGGCATTTTCATGATGAACAGGTAATATTACCTTTGTTATTTCAATTTTATATAATTTAGAAAATTATTTTAATTAATATTTATAACAAACCTTTTTTGTGTCTGAGAGCAGTCCGCATTATTGAAACCCATCACGAACGGGAGAGCTGTAACGCATTTTCACGATGAACAGGTAATATTTACCTTTATTATTTCAATTTTATATAATTTAGAAAATTATTTTAATTAATATTTATAAATTTGTATCGTAGGTGCTTTATTAAATGCATAATACATTATCCGAATATGAGAGCAACAAACTTTATATAAACTGAGAGCAGTCTAATTTTTGTAAAATATGTAAACTTTAAACGTATTTTATATATAAAATTTTATATACTTTTAAACATGTTAGTTGGGCAAATTTGAAGGATATATATATGTGTGTGTGCTAACTTTAAGTATATATATTTTTCTTATAAAATAGTCTAGACAAAATTGAGGTAATTTCACATTTTTCAATAATAATATAAAATATTTTAATACTTTCACATATGTTATATAGTCTGCGTATTCTTAATGTCTTTTGGTTGTAACACTGTTAACACATATAATATTAGATACTTTTAAACATATTTAGATATTTTTTTTACTCATTCTTTAATATCTATGTGCATAAAAAGAGAATAAGATTTATAAAAAATTTTCCGGCAATATACTAAATGTTAGATAAAAATCTCATTTTATTTGTTATATAATATTTCGAGTTGCATTAATTTTGATTTGTATGTGTAAAATTGATAAATTAAGCGTATGAAAAGGAACGTACGAATTACTGTAAAGATTTAAAAAATAAAAAATAAATCTAATTTTTGAATATTTTCTAAACGAATTTATGTCATAATTCGTCATAATTTTCCCACATCATGTCAATATTTATTTTATCTATACTAGGTAAAAGGTAAATCATTATCTCAATATTTATTCTATATATTCTAAGTAAATCTTCTCATCTATCTCAACGGTCCGCAGGTAGTATTTCATACTTTTCTATTCATAATCAAATATACCAAACCTTCACAAATTTTACTTTACAAAGAATGTGTTTAATAATTTATATTTTTTTTCCTTCTTTGCAATCCATTTATTTTTATTACATATATATAAATTATATCATTTTTAATATTTCACACGTTAAACATTTCAGGAAAATATACCATCCCGTGCATCGCACGGGTACTGTACTAGTAAATAAAAATAATATGAGAAATTTTGATACCACAATAATATGTTTTTCTTCAATGTATATTTTTGACAATTGAAATTTTAATTTAATTCTTTTCCAAACATGGAGTGGCTGCTGGTGACTAGTCAACATGACCATATTTCTTATAGTCCACAAAAGAATAAAAAGAACAGTAAGAAAAATTACAACTTTTGCCGACAACAAGGACATGATTGCCAATCTTTTTCAACATTACTGGGACATATAATCAAGAATTTTTCCACGACCCTTTTAATTTTCTTTACCAAAAGTAACTTAAAATAGCTCATGAGATTTTGTTTCTACACTACCAGAAAAATATTCTTTCATGTGATCAAGATCAGTATTTAATAATATCATAGAATATTGCGGAGAATAATTTGTTTCGTTATAAGGTTTGTGAACTGTAAAAATATTCAACTTAGACAAAAATGTTGTATGATAATGTTATATATTCAATTATTCATGTAAGTTCAAATGTGAATCTATCGTAATCGGGTTTTGGATACTCTCTTTGACGTTGGAACTGATTAATTTAAGTACACGCGCTAAGGTGAGTGAAAAGGTAAATTAATCCAGTTATTGGTAGATCTAGATTGTGGAAAAGTAATAAATATTTAATATATGATATTATTGGATTATCGAAAATTTCAATGACTAAATAAGGTTTGCACATTACAAATGAAATGAGCACTATAAAGAAAATTTCAATGACTAAATAAGGTTTGCACATTATAGAAAGTTTTAATAGAGAATTAAATTTCATTTTATTGTATGCATGTATCTTCATTAATATAATTCTGTTGAAATTTTTTAATAAATTAATTCAGTTCTTCGGCGAAATTTTTTTCGTTGGAAATAGGCAAAAAATTAATGATGTTTTTCTGCTCCTTTTTTTATTAAATTATAAAACTTATAGTTCATTTGCATTATTTAAGTGTGATATATGATAATTACAACTAATATTGACTAATTATAAATTTACAATAAAAATTATGGAATTTATACCTTTATAAAAAGAATATAGCAAAGTTTTTCTTCAAGTTATTTGTTAAAAAATTTATACTAGCATTTTATTTTATCTCATTTTATAATAATTCATATATAAGTAAAATAGTTATTTGTTATATACAAGTTATTTGCTAAACTTACTCAACATATTTGTCATATGCCCCAATTTCTTAAACATACTGCGATGTTTTTTTAGTTAGTTGGTATTATTTACTTTTTTAAGATATATTATGTACGATTTTGAACTATATAGTGGATATTTTATGAAATCGCAAAAGCTACTAAACAAATTAATTTGTTATCTGACCCGAATTATTGGATATATATAGTGTAAGAATATGTGGTCCGTAAGCATTGGGCTCACAATTAATTATTCTATTGGGCTAGACCTTTAATTAATAGTCAAATAAATCTAAGCCATTAATCTGGATATTTGATGGACGTACCAGATCTAAAGCACCCCTATATAAATTAGTCCTCTCTCCTCCTATTATTCCTATTAGGGTACGCAGTTATTATCCCATTACGTTAAGGAATCGGTCAGGAGGGAGAAACTAGTTTAGATCTAACAATCAATTCAAGCTCGTGTGATCATCAAGATCAAGATCACAAATTATGTCGTCTTCCGCATCAAGTAAGTGTTTCGTATACACCAAATTATTTATTCAAGATCCTTAATGAAGTTTACATGTGGTATCAGAGCATGTGTTATGAATGAATAATTTGTTGTAAATTATGATGTATTGGTATAAATAGCCGAAAAGTTTTTATTATGAAATTTAATTCCGCGAATGTGTCTCTAATGGTCGCATCAATCTTCGGAAATAATTATTTGAACTGTGTGTTGTTCATGGTTGACTTTTGATGATGAGGATTGCTTTCGGTGAAGATTGTTGTTTAGGTTATGCAATTAATTTCCGAAATAATGCCCACTGTGTATGAGTTGATATATATATATATATATATATATATATATATATATATATATATATATACATTGTTGCTGTACGAAACATCATGTCTGTATATATATTTGTGCGTATGTTTGCATTATGAATATTTGATATCTTATTGTTGTAGTCATTGGCACATCAAGATGTGTTATATTGATTTGCTACACATGATTGATTTATGATTTGTTTGAACTGCAACATGGGCAAAATTAAAATTACTGGTCTGATATCTGGTTCATGGTTGAGATATCAATTAATTGTTCTTATGATTCCATGATGCTTATTATATTATATGACATTAAGACAAAATTAGTTAGTTAGTCACCAAAGTGGTTTAATTAATTTTTAATGTTCGGTCATTTAATTTATCGTTATGAATGTTTTATTATATGACATTATGATAAAATTAATTTGTTAGTCACCAAAGTGGCCTAATTAATTTTTAAAGTCCGGTCATATAATATTATTGTTACAACTGCTTATTATATGACATTAAGTGAAAATTAATTTGTTAGTCACCAAAGTGGCCGAATTAATTTTCTAAGGTTTGGTCATATAATTTATGTTTTCTTGAGAATGTCATTATTCAAAATAATGAGTTTATTGGTTGTTAGAAATTATGGATTTATCCAAAGGTGAATCAATGTTCTATAACTAATAAACATTAAGGAGAAATATAATATCCTTTTGTCGAGCGTATGTAGATATCCAAAGATACTATGTATGTTAGACGAAATTTATTTAATTTTTCATTAAGTGTTAAATGACATTCAACTCATGATAATGATATGTATTGTGTGTTTACCCAAAGGAGACCTGCAATATATGTGATGAATGTATTTTCTGAATCTATTAGTTAAGTGAGCGTTTATGGTTGTGCAGCTATCTCTCTTCATTCGCAAGCTTCTTCTGTTACTGTCTTCAATGGTTTGAATTTCTCTGAATGGCGTGAGCAAGTCAATTTCCATTTAGGTGTTTTGGATATTGACTTGGCTCTGCTTGAAAAAAAGCCCGCTGACATTACTGATCAATGCAGTGAGGCTGAGAAATCAAACCGTAAGGCTTGGGACAGGTCTAACAGATTATGTTTGAGCTTTATGCGAATGACGATTGCCAACAACATTAAGTCAACTCTTCCCGATAATGTGGATGCGAAAGCATACCTTTTGCTTGTGGAAGAGCGTTTTCGTTCCGCGGATAAGTCATTGGCATGAACACTTATGGCTGAACTCACGACCAAAAAGTATAATGGGTCGCGTAGTATGCAGCAACATGTTCTTGACATGACTAATCTGGCAGCAAGGCTTAAGTCCCTGGGTATGACCGTTGATGACTCATTTCTGGTGCAATTTATGCTTAACTCATTGCCTCCTGAATATGGGCCATTTCAAATTAACTATAACACTATTAAGGATAAGTGGGATGTTAATGAATTGGCCAGTAAGCTTGTTCAGGAGGAGACGAGGCTTAAGGCACAAGGAGTTCATACGGTCAACCTTGTGGGTCATGGAACTAATAATGTTCTCAAACCGAAATCCAACAAGTTTAAGAAGATAGGACCTGCTAAAGTTTCACAGGTCACTAATGATGAAAAGAAGGAAAATCGGGCAAATAAATGTTTTTTTCTGTATGAAAGAAGGACACGTGCAGAAAGATTGCCTGAAACGCAAGTCTTGGTTTGAAAAGAAAGGTATTTCTAATATCTTTGTATGTTTCGAATCAAACTTGTCTGAAGTTCCTTCAAATACATGGTGGTTGGATTCTGGTGCTACAACCCATGTTTCTAATGTGATGCAGGGACTTCTTACAATCCAGAGCATAAACCGAAATGAGAACTTCTTGTTCATGAGGAACCGTATGAAGGCCCCAATTGAAGGCATAGGGACTTATCGTATTGTTTTAGATTCCGGGCACCACCTGGATCTTTTGCAAACTCTCTATGTACCTTCATCTTCTAGAAACTTAATGTCTCTTTCTAGACTTGATGTTCTTGGGTTTTCCTTTAAGTTTGGACATGGATGTTTCAGTTTGATTGATAAACATGATTCCATTACTGGTTCTGGAATCCTTATGGATGGTTTATATAAACTGAAACTTGATGTTAATTTTTCTGCATCTTTAATGTGTGTTCATCAAAACATTGGAATTAAACGTGGTGTAGCAAATGAGAACTCTGCTTTCTTGTGGCATAAACGTTTGGGTCATGTATCCAAAGAAAGAATGCAAAGGTTGGTGAAAGATGAGATTCTTTTGGATCTAGATTTTACCGATCTTGGGTTGTGTGTGGATTGCATTAAGGGAAAGCAAACCAAACATAACAAGAAAAGAGCCACAAGAAGCAGTCAGCTTCTTGAAATTATACACACCGATATACGTTGACCTTTTGATGCTTCATCCTTCAATGGAGAAAAGTACTTCATTACCTTTATCGATGATTTTTCACGTTATGGTTATGTCTATCTGCTTAAGGAAAAATCTCAAGCTGCAAATGCACTGGAGGTTTTCATTAATGAAGTTGAAAGGCAGTTAGACAGAAAGGTGAAAATAGTAAGGTCTGATAGAGGTGGTGAATACTATGGAAGGTATGATGAATCGGGGCAAAATCCCGGTCCATTTGCTAAGTTCCTCGAAAGACATGGCATATGTGCACAGTATACTATGCCAGGCACACCTCAACAAAACGGTGTAGCGGAAAGGCGAAATAGAACATTAATTGATATGGTTAGGAGTATGATAAGTAATACATTATTACCCAAATCTTTGTGGATGTATGCACTTAAGACTGCTGTGTATTTGCTAAATAGGGTTCCTAGTAAGTCAGTTCCTAAAACTCCTTTTGAGTTATGGACTGGAAGGAAACCTAGTTTGAGACACCTGCATGTTTGAGGTTGTCCAGCAGAAGCACGAGTATACAACCGACATGAAAAGAAATTGGATTCTCGAACTGTGAGTGGTTACTTTATTGGTTACCCAGAGAAGTCCAAAGAGTATATGTTTTACTGTCCTAATCATAGTTCTAGAATCGTTGAAACGGGCAATGCTAGGTTTATTGAAAATGGTGAAGTTAGTGGGAGTGCTAAAGCAACTGTGGAAATTCATAAAATAAGGGTTGATGTTCCATTACCCATTAATGTTCCAATATCCACAGTTGTTCCA